ATTTGTTTCAGTAGTTTCCACTGGGCCGAGGTTGTATTGGAATATATTTGCTTATTTTCCTTAAGAGGATGTTTCATAATAATATCAATATAGGAGTCCAATGACTCATTGCGTTTTTTATCTGGGTTGAATTTTCCAGAAGATTTCACTATTGACTCGTCTTCAAAAGTAGATTCGTAAAAGTATTCATTAAGTCTCAATTGACGGCAAAATCGACTCACATCTTGGCGTATTTCAGTTAAATTAGAGCGTTGTGGAGTAGGTGTGAATTTTAATCCTTGTTTTAAAATGTTGATTTCACTTTCATTGAATTCTCGTTTGGAAAGATTTACTATTTTTACCGTTACATTCTGTTTACATTCTGTTTCCATGGTTCCAACCGGTGATGTTCGTTCGCACTGTGTTGCATCCTGTGATTCCAGAATTCTTTCAATTGGTGGTGTTCCTCCGGATTGTGGTGCATTCTCCGATTCCATGATTCCATGTGATGTTGTACGATTCTTGGATTTTGTACTCTCCTTTCCATTTCCAGTACTTGACGATGCCTCCATGGAGGAATGTCCTGGCGCATCTCTAAAAAATGATTTTTATTTTCAAATGCGCGCTGTTTATTGCGATCGTTATTTGTAGTTTCACTTTGTTTATATCTTCTTTGATCGTGCAGTTGTCCTTATATATATATATATATAAAAAGATAAACAAACAAAATATGAAATATTTAAAAACTAGACATGTTTCTATATTTCCTCAGTAGTTTTTTTTTATACTTATAGTGTGTGTGGTATTATATATATATATATATATATATAATAAAATTTAAATAAAAACACAAGATGACTTCATTTCGTTGCAACTAGTTTCTTCAAATCTTCAGGCAACTGACAGATAATCGCAGGATGACGTAATTATAATTATAATTAATGTCGTCATAAAATATATACCTGTGCAGGTATAATTTTAATTTATGTATGACGTCATTAATTTTACATAAGAAACCAATGTTTATATACAGGGTGGGCCAAAAAAAACCACCCCCCTAGCCATTACTCCTGATAAATTTTTATTTTCTAACAAGTACTCCAGCAATGATATATCATTTTAAAGATAATTTAATTTGCAACAAAATGATATATAATAAAACAATTTTCAACAACCCTGGCTCGAGATATAACCATTTATGTGACATGGGGGTCAAAAAACACCTTTTCAATTTTTATTGATTTTGCGAACAATAGCCTATTTCTACCAAATTTTACTGTTCAGTTAAAAAATGCAACATTGTCATGAGTCTTTCATAATTGGATATTATATATTGTTTTCATTCAGTTTTTGAACCATCCATGCTCAATAAACATGTGTATGCTTATAAAACAAATTAATTTCTTCTTAAGTCTGTCCAAATATGCCTCAATAGACCCACCCCCCGGACCAATCCTCTGATCGGATTATTCGTTAAAGACACGAAAGCCATTGGTATAATTGATGGATCTCTGTGGAAGTACCGTCGAACTCGTAATTATTCATTCTTTCAGTTTGTCTACATCCCTGATAGGCTAATGATCTTCATAGACCAACTGTTCTAAATGCCCCAAGTACTATACATGTAATCAACAGGATAGACTCTATATATCAGTAAGCAAGAATAGGTACATTTGCAATAAAAGGCTCCTCAAATCGAGATGACATTTTTCTGAAAGGGTAGTGGTGTCCACTCGGAGTTTCCCAAAAAGGAAATACCGTACAGACCCTGTTTTTGTTGAACCAGGAGCAAAAATATACTCTGAATGTTAATGACATGAGGTGTTAACAAGGACTCCTCGAGGATATAAAAACATGTGAAAGAAATTTCATTTTCTGATAGGAAAGTGCTTCATCACACAGGTCCAATGCTACCCTGGAGTTTTTGGAGAATCGAAATGACACCATCTCTAGCGCGGACAAATGGCTTACTGACAGTCCAGATGCCAATAATGTTGATTACCACACCTGGGGGCATCTAGAACAGTTGTTGTTTAAAGATACCCAGCCTATCAGGGATGTAGAGGAACTAAAAGAAAGAATAACTATCAGTTGAATGGTACTTCCGCATACATCCATCAATTATGCCATCAACCAATGGTTTCCGCTTCTTAAGCAAATAATCTGATCAGAGGATGGGTCCGGGGGATGGGTCTATTGAGCCATATTTGGACAGACTGAAGAAGAAATTAATTTGTTCTATAAGCATACACATGTTTGTTGAGCATGCATGGTTCAAAAACTGAATGAAAACAATATATAATATCCAATTATGAAAGACTCATGAAAATGTTGCAATTTTTAACTGAACAGTAAAATTTGGTAGAAATAGGCTTTTGTTCGCAAAATCGATGAAAATTGAAAAGGTGTTTTTTGACCCCCATGTCACATAATTGGTTATATTTCTATATGGAGTTGTTGAAAATGGTGCTGTTATATATCATTTTGTTGCAAATTAAATTATCTTTAAAATGATATATCATTGTTGGTGTACATGTTAAAAAATAAATATTTATCAGGAGTAATGGCTAGGGGGGTGGTTTTTTTTGGCCCACCCTGTATATATTAGAAAATTGCAATAAATTCTAGAAAAGACAAGAGACAATTCAATTCAATTACATATAATTCAATTGTATATAATATAAAATAATATATAATACATAGGCCTATGGTATTTATTTCCTTATTTACATTTTTCTCTTTGTGTGGTTAAAACATACCTTTATGTCTATGTGGAATTCATCTTATGTGGTAAAACAACTATATAATTGATTCTATGCTAAGCAAAGTGGGTTTGTGTGGCATTTACCTTTATGTGGTGTTATGTTCTGTGGTATCATTTCACTGAATAGTGCATTTTTCTCTTGTGTGGTTCAAGCATACCCTTATGTCTATGTGGAATTCATCTTATGTGGTAAACAACTATATAATTGATCCTATGCTAAGCAAGGTGTTTGTGTGGCATTAACCTAATGTGGTATTAAGATTTGTTGTATCATTTCATTGGTACCACGCAAGAGAAAAATGTACCATACAATGAAATGATACCACAGAACATAATACCACATAAAGTTAATGCCACACAAACCCCAATTTGGGCGTAACAATTCTTGGACAACCACACAACATGACAATTTACCACACAATGTAATATACCACAGAGAATATATACCACATAATGTGAATACCACACAAACCCCCAAAGGGGCGTAGTACCGTCCGTCCGTCCGTCCGGGCAATAACTCAAATACCGTTAGCCCGATTTTGTTCATATTTTGTACACATAAACTCTATGGGGGTAGAAGTTCTGCTCGAAAGCCGATTTTCAAAATGGCCGCTCACTTCAAAATGGCGGCCATTTTAGTGCCGGATTTACAGTAATTTAGGTGCAATATGTAAAACTGTAATAGCAATATGTTTTAGATGTAAAAAAATTATATAGGACATTAATAAAGCTAGAAATGTAGATATTAAAGAAGCACATGGCAGCCATCTTGAAAAATGGCGGCCTTTAATCGTTATTTTACGATTTTTGCTGTAACTCGAAACGTAGTAAACGATTTTGTTCATATTTGGTATATGAATACTATAAACATTGCACACTGTCTAAAGACACTTTTGGTAGAAGGCGCCCATTTTGAAAAATGGCCGTCATTTTGAAAAATGGCCGCCATTTTAACGTATTTTACTATAACTCGAAAAGTAGTGGAGCGATTTTGTTCATATTTGGTGTGTGAATACTATAAGCATGACACACTGTCCTATGACACTTTTGGTAGAAGGCGACCATTTTTAAAAAAATTTGAAAAATGGCCGCCATTTTAACGTATTTTACTATAACTCGAAATATAGTGAAGCGATTATGTTCATATTTGGTATGTGAATACTATAAGCATGGCACACTGTCTAATGACACTTTTGGTAGAAGGCGGCCATTTTGAAAAATGGCCGCCATTTTAACGTATTTTTCTATAACTCGAAAAGTAGTGGAGCGATTTTGTTCATATTTGGTATGTGAATACTATAAGCATGACACACTGTCCTATGAGACTTTTGGTAGAAGGCGGCCATTTTGAAAAAAAATTTGAAAAATGGCCGCCATTTTAACATATTCTACTATAACACGAAAAGTAGTTGAGCAATTTTGTTTATATTTGGTATGTAAATACTATAAGCATGGCACACTGTCTAATGGCACTTTTGGTAAAAGATGGCCATTTTGAAAAATGGCCGCCATTTTTGCTATATACTTTGTTTGTAAAAATGCCATCCATGGCTGTTCGATGGGATTCGCTACGCTTTGGCGTTGCCGTTGTTCTGGTTATATATACAAAATTTCAGCTGAATTGAAGAATATTAAAGAAAGTTAGAGCATATAGTGCATTACTTCTGGGACAACCCTCGTATATATGTTTTATATTATATGTTAATACAAAGAATGAACATAAAACTAATATGCTACATGTCATATGAAAATATACATAAAATATATATGTACATGTACATTTAATATATTTGTACATAAAATATAAACATGTATGTAACATTTGGGTTGGCATACATGTAAAATATGTTAAATATCACAAGGTACAAAAAACATGTTAATAGTCATATTTGTTAATATACAGGGTGAACATTAAGTATGTTACATGACACATGTAAACATACAGGGTGAACATATAATACACCCAAATAAAAGTTGACCTTTAATTTATTTTACACATTACGTAAATGCTCATAACTGATGTTCATTATGCAATTCTCACCCAATGCAGTTATCACAATATGCAGTTATCACATAGTGCAGTGAGCACAGTGCAGTGTAATTATCACACTGTGCAGTTATCACATAGTGCATTAAAGCAGAAAGCATGATGTTAGGCGGAAGGGTAGTATATTAAATCATATGAAAGCATTATAATGCAAAATTCTCAAAGAAGTTATCAAGTATCAAACAAAAACATAGTTATGAATCAACTCACCAGATGGCAGTATAATCTCATCATCATTCATAAGAGACGGATCAATACTTCCTGGTTCATCCTCCGGGAATCTACCATCAGCTATATGTGGTGTGTCATGACCTACAATTGGCTGAAGAGGAAATGAAGGAGCATGCGGGTTTTGATTGGATAGCTTGCTACTAGTGCGACTACCAGGATGTGAACCATGCAGATTTTCAGCATAATATTGCTGAAGTTGCTGATCAGCAATTTTATCAGTGCTAGCTCTAGAGTAGACACTAACATGCGCTGCCATCTCACCATGTAAACTATGACCGGATTTTGGCCTTGACCCTATGTTTGACCTTGACCTTGAGGAACCAGGTCGTGAGAGTATGGCCGAGTGTGGCCTTGAGCCTGTGTGAGAACCGTGGTGCGAGGGTGAAGTAGGGCGTGCTGCAGTTCCAGGGTCAGGCTTCGTGTAGTTTATCTGGACATTTGGAGGTATCGTAGACATAGCACGTCTCTCACCTAGAAACAAACAATAAATTGACCATGAATGCAGTCAATAATAACAAACTTCTTGAAAATGTTTTTGCCAACCTACATTGTACAGGTGTACCATTTTAACAACAAACATATAAATTTAAAGGTATAACTTGAAATCTTAGGCAATAAGCATCTTAAAAAAATAACATAAATATCAAAAGTTGCTGAACCAAATAAAACAAAATGAAGAAATAATGAATGGTTTCAAAGTAAGTGAAAATTAGGAAATTTTTACCGTCAAGTCCAGTCCGATTGATGAGTGGGGTGGATGAAGCGCCACCTATGTGATGTCTGGACTGCAGGGATGCCGCTAACTTGTTTGCCGACAATACTTGGAATGACCTCTGTGTACTTGTGTTGCTTTGAGCTGAGAGAGGCCTGTAAATAATATGTAAATAATCCAGATTATTTCTCCAATTCTTTGTTTTAAATTTGTGAGGAACTACATGTACATTTAGTTGTTTTCTGCCTTTTTTAAATCCAATTGTCGTATTAACATTCAAGACTTCTTTGTTTGTTTGTTTGTTTGTTTGTTTGTTTGTTTGTTTGTTTGTTTGTTTGCAAATATCATGAAAAATAAATAAATTCTTTTTAGAATTTGGTTGCATGTAGCTGCAAGCTTATACTTCAGAGAAAAGTACCTAACGAATGAATAAAGAGGGAAATATCATTTATTTGCACCTTATACAATGGGGAAGCATTCAAAAATTACTTTCATTAGTTTTTTTCCATCAAAATCTTTCAATAATTAATTTTTTACTTGTAAGGAGAATTAGCATGCAAATGATCAATTTCCTGCAAAAAGAAATTCCTTGAAAATGTACCATCCCAAAAATACTTTTATCATAACAAAGTTAATTAGATCTTAGTATATTGTACTACATTAGACCTACATATTATATACTATTGTGCTCAATTGTATTACAATGTGATGGATTGTGTCACATTGTGCATACCAAATGCATTGTACTTAAGTGCACCACATTGTTCTTATACTTGTACACCATTGTGTCTAATTTAACAGCATTGCATTTTATTATGGTGCATTGTTATGAATTGCACACAATCTGATTAATCATACAACATTGTGGATAATTTTACAGCATTGCATTTTATTATGGTGCATTGCAATGAATTGCATATAATCTGCTTAAGTATACACCACTGTGCCTAATTTTGCAGCATTGCATTTAATTATGGTGCATTGCATTGAATTGCAAATAACCTGGTTAATTATACACCACTGTGACTAATTTTGCAGCATTGCATTTAAAGATCTAATAGCAAAGGTTTTGCAAAAATAAATCAATGCAGTGTAAAACAAATGTATGTATAATGAAGAAATAAATATTTAATGAAAAAAATAGATATGTGTTTGTAATATTGGTATTAACTTAAGATTAAAAAGTGTCACTATCTCTTTCATTTTTCAACAAATATAGGCTCACGTGACATATGACGCGGGGCAGTCAATTTTGATCTATCGTAGACCATATCAGTATCAAACTGCCGATATTTCAACCTCGTCTTGCGAGGCCATTTTTATTTGAAACATCTTGAATTTGGTGTCAAAATAAAGCTGGTCACGCCCACTTTCAGAGTTATCAATGAATCATTTACTACGACTACTATATTCATTTAGGAGGCGTGTAAAGTTAACCAATCAGAAAGACAATTGCTCCATATATGACAGTTCATTAACATATTCAGTGTTTACTATTGTTTTTCGCGTCATGACAACACGAGTAGTAACCAATCAAAATGCCGTATTTTATCACGTGAGTTCAGAGTGACATGCACGACATGTAAGTTTAGTCTGAGCTGATCGCGATGTTGAACAATTTCTTCTCGGAATTTGTCCAGAGAAATCAGCGATTCTAAATTAAGGTAGGATCTCCCATTTCTTCCTGTACAAGTTTTAACTTATCTCTATCGAATCCTAAAGTTTTGGATGAAGATATGAAGCATACGTTTAAAAACGAAGCGATTAATTTGACGATCTGATTTTGCAATTTGCAATGGCCAATTTACTGCAAGTCTGCGTGTATTTGACAAGAGATAGCGCCAAGTCTTGTATCCGAATGCTTGTTAAGCCACTCAAAAACAAGATCCATATTTTCTAAATTTGATAACTTTGCAGAGAGCCCATTTTCATAACCTGTTTTCCGCGTCTAAATTCAAACTGAGTAGGATTATAGGATCGCTGGGATTCTCAGTCAATGGCAACGGGTCTTCATTCCAGAACGCACATTTTTTTAGTTGATTCTCCGTCTCTTGTCTAAAGTCCATATCTGCTCTTTTACTGGCATACTTGGACATATTTCCCCTCCTTAAATTGTCCTCCTTAAATAACACCCTCTCGCCGATTTATATATAGCCATTTCCCAGAACCCGGGAGTCAGAATCGCTGATGTTTGCCATATTGAACATGTTGAAATATGTACTGTAATATCTGTAATACTAGGCATTGCCTGCTACGCGTAAGGGTCACGTGACTAGCGCGATACAGGAAAATGGGGAATTTCGAAACAACAATTTTTGGGCACTTTTATTGCAAATTTCAGGTATTTATAAGTGTTTGTGGTATAAAATATAATCCACAGACATAAATGAACATCCAAACTACATATTTTATTACGTTTTGGAGCCTTTTTTGCTTTTAAAATGACATCTTTAATTATGGTGCATTGCATTGAATTGCAAATTATCTGTTTAAGTACACTCAACTGTGCCAAATTTTACAGCATTGCATTTAATTATGGTGCATTGCAATGAATTGCAAATAATCTACAATTATGGTTAATTATTTAATTATGCAATGAAGTGCATACAATCTGCTTAAGTACAGTATTCTACATTGTGCCTTATTGTATAGTATTAAATAGCCATAATGTAAAAAAAAGTTCCTAATTCTCTGCCTTACCTTTGCTGTGACTCCGCCCCTGATCTAGCTGCTGACATTTGAGACGTTGGCCGCACAAACTGACTGGCGAGAGACTCACAGAATCTCTCTGATATTGGAGTCGTCAAACGTGATGCGGCATCACCAGCAGCACTGCCCTCTATTGGTGTAGGAACAAACTGGTTGACTTGTTCCATGGCTTCTTGTAATTCTTGCGCTGGGTCGATTTCTGCCTGACTTGGCTGCGTCAGTCTGGATCTTGCACTGGAGTAAAAAAAATTTAGTTAGGTACACTGCACATGTTAAATGAAAATAACCTCAATAGAAATGGCCATATATGGACTATATAGATGTTTTTTAATGAGAGGGATTGAATATGGGTTTTATTTGAAGGGACAATATGATATCTTCCAAGGGCTGGCTCGGAGAGCTAGGAGGAAATATCCATATTCGCACAAGGAATAAATACTTTTAACATGATTCATTGCTGTAGCATGGAAGTCACAAAATCAGTTTTCTTATCAGGATCATATATCTAAGTGTGCAATTTGAAATACTTGCCCTCCAGCAAATGATTTTAATTTTCTTGTCCAGAAGTGCAATTATCTCATATTTTTTATTTAAATAATTAACTTCAAAACAACCACAACAGATACAGAAGCTCCCACAGATAAAAATAATTAAGTTGAAATCCATTTACCTTGTACTCTTTTGCAACTATAGTCAATTATGTGTATTTAAACAACACTTATCCGAACATCTCTCAATGTGGACACTTTTTCTTGGACACAATTTTGCTGTGTCCGATAGACTCAATTATAATGAAATTTTGGGCCAGTGGTGTTCAGATTAGACAGGTTTTATTGTATACCATTTACATGATATGGATATTTGCCCATTTGGTAATGCATTAATTAAGCCATAATTGCCCCTCACAATCTCTCTCTGTATCAAGTAGGAAATTTAAAACAGATAACAACGAAAAGACACTAAGTGATAAATATTGCACTTTTAAGAGCAAAATGGCCGCACAGCAAGTCCAAACCTATTCAGATCTTGGAACTGGACAGGACTGCGCATTCATCTGTAAAAATTTCAAGCTGAACGATTTAGCAATTTCTCTGGAATTTTGATGGCAAGATTTATGTGGCTCCCACCTGTCAGTCTGCCCAATTGCACATGTGCACACACACCCATCAACACAACGACAACAACAAAACAGCACTTTCTCAAAGTGCGATAAAAACACAGAATTCAACAAACGTAGCCGCATATACTATATGGACAATAAATGTTATCTACAGTATATACAGATAGTACAAACTTCAGATAGTGTAGGTTCAAACACACGCAACAAACTTCAAACAGAAGCATGTAAATCAGTTCTAGGCAAAATTTTGAAAAGCATGGACCATCATTATTTTTACAATCTCCATTTAATTTTAAGATGTAAAACGTTGAAAAGAATGGTCAATCCATGAATTTCACTGTAGCTTTCTCAACATTTATTCAACTTGGTGCTATATTGATAAAAATTAAAACTTTACACAGGGCCTTTAACCAATGAATTCAGTAAAAATATTGTTTTCATTTTTTAACTCTCAATAGAGTTAATTCTACAATGGTTCAATTGGGTGCAAAGTATTTCAATTGGGTGCAAAATATCTCAATTGGGTGAAGCACCAGGTTGATTTAAGCTTTGAAAATCACTACATTGACTTACATTTTGGGGAATTTCTCACAACTTTTGATTTTATAATAAATATTTTCAAGATTGGATTTTTCCCTGGGTCCTTCCTCACTATAGGCATGCACATGATGGCAAAGAAATAGATTAGAACATAGAAATACAAACAAGGAGATCGAGACAGGGGTCTCCAGTATTACTTAATAGGTTTTGGGTCGATATAAAAATGGCAGCAGTTTCGTCTATTCCTATACCCAGGGTACCTTTCAGTGTATGCCCTAAGGATCTAAGAGCTGCTGGTCAAAATGGCATCATTGACCAGTTGCAATGTTCCTATACCTTGTGAAAAAATCAACTGGTCACTATTAAAAGTAACCTGGTAATGACCAGCTGACAGGCCCTTAGGGCGTACCCAGGGTACCTTTATCCCAAATTCGTAATACTCATAGGCTATAGGGTAATAGAAATAATGTTGAAATAAAGGTGCCAGTGTGATCAATCTCTGAGAGGTTACTTGATTAGAATGGATTCTAAATATATATGGGCAGGGCTCTCGCTAGGCTTTTACTTTTAGACTGTGGCGCAGCACCACACTCTATTTAGCTCTCACCACGACCTATTGGCAAATCATGTTTGTTCCCACAGTTTAAACCTGACTGATTACACAATAATAGCATGTAAAAAGGAAAAAAGTATAACATAAATATTATTTTTATGATTGAACTGTTTAGTTATGCTGAAGATGTTTTCCAACAAAAAATAAATAAAAAATGTTTCCAACAAGTACCCTAAATATTTCCTGGTGAGAGCCCTGATGGGGATAACATCGCAATATCATTTTTATATGCTCTACTGAAATCATATCCGACTAATGACATACATGTCTATGTGAGTTTTTTTTTTAGAATGAGTGAAATAATATTTTGAAACCAAAGGATAAATATAGTATCCTATGACTTTCTCAGGCTATAATTTTCATCCACAGGATGTAGCCCATTTCTACTCTCTCTATGTGTCATGGATATGGTCAATATTCATTGTTTTATGTCATATAATATGAAATATGGTGTCATGTAATTATATTGTCCTTGATTTGATGTCATATACTATGAACTATGTGTCATGTCAATTACTTTATGCCTTTATGCCCTATAGTGTCATGTCATGTAATTTACATTGCCATTGATTTGATGTCATATAATTTAAACTATGGTGTCATGTAATTAGCTTGCCCTTGATTTGATAACTATGGTGTCATGTAATTACATCGCCATTGATTTGATGTCATATAATTTAAACCATGGCGTCATGTAATTACCTTGCCCTTGATTTGATGTCCCTGAGGTAAAAGTTGAAGTCCCCACCAGGCTGAGCCCGCAGGTCCGCCATTTTGTCATCCAGGGAGTGCAGGAAACGCAACATGATCTTTCCCTTAGGGTCTGAGATACTTGCATCTTCTTCATCAAATTCCTGGAATGCAAAATAAAAAATTGTGAGAATAAAGAGTTGATAATATTCAGTTTCAGAGAAATTGTCAAAAACATGTATTTTGCTATTACTTTTCCACATTTATGCCTATTTTGTATAAAAGGTCTCACGCGTTTGTGTTTATTTCTCAAGATCCTTCAATTTTAAGGTAACTTGGCAAAAAATGTAGAGATCTAAAATCTAATCAGATCTAATGAACTTGAAGATTTCTGCTTCCTAAATTCTATTATTCTTTTATTGGTCAAATTATGATCTGAATTTTTTATTCAGAAAATGAAGTTAGTTATGGTCTTTTAAATATTGTTTCCAACTTAATTTTGCCTTGTACCCTTTACTCCTTTAATAAGTTGGCATTAGTTAATGCCAAATAATGCCAAAAATTCTAAAACACAAGAAATAAGCATGACTCATGACAAAATGTCAAATTAGAAAAGTGTAACAACAATATGACAATCTGTAACATGCATTTCAGTCACAAAAATCTGTAACATGAATTTCAGTCACAAAACAGAGTGTAAATAAAATAATTATTGCTATATTTTCCTATTTTTGATTCAATACCATGTTGAAATGGACCATGGCCATACCATGGTATACCATGGTATGACCATGGTATACCATGGTATATGGCCATGAAATGCAATGAAATACCATGGTAATACCATGGCCGATCATGAACGTTAAATGGCACCATTGCATTTCATTGTTAACAGTGCGTTTTTAACATGGAGTTTTCCATTGAAAAAATACTGCCGTTTCGCAGTATTTCATGGTCAGAAACCATCAAATGCAATGATATCATGGTCAAGTTCTCGGCCATGATATCATTGCATTTGATGGTTTCTTGACCATGATATCATTGTATTTGATGGTTTCTGACCATGAAATACTGTGAAACGGCAGTATTTTTTCAATGGGAAACTCCATGTTAAAAAAACGCTCCTGACCATGAAATGCAATGGTGCCATTTAACGATCATGATAAACCATGGTATACCATGGTCAATTAACATGTAATTTTGTATCTAAAAAATACCACCGTTTCACAGTATTTCATGGTCAAATACCATCAAATGCAGTGATATCATGGTCTAGACATTTAACCATGATATGCAATGGAGCCATTTAATTATCACGATCTACTATGGTATACTGTGGAAACTATACTTAAAATTTTGCATTTAAAAATACTGCTATTTTGCAGTATTTCATGGTTGCAAACCATCAAATGCAATGAAGTACAGTCAAGATGTTTAATCTAAGACTGGAGGTTTGACTTACAAATTATCAAGTTGATCTCCTATTTTACTGACAACAGTCAAACAAAAGTAAAGCATATTTGTTTAACAAAAAAAAATTGTTTCTAGGGTTATTAACTTAATTATTCATAATAGAAATTAATTTATTAAATAAAGGAACAAAAGTATATAAAGTTGTGATTTTGATGAATATCAGAATCACTAATTATAATAATTTGGTTATCTAATCAACATTTATTAATAAAGATATTTCATGTAAAAAATACTTTTTGAACATGGCCTTTCATTGTATTTCACTGCATTGCAAGAAAGATCATTGCATTTCATTGCATATCATGATCAATCATTGTATTTCATTGCATTTCATGGTTAAACGTGGTATTTCATTGCATTTCATGATCCATTTCAACTCTGACCAATTTTAGACTTGAGACTCTTGTAGAGTTCTTTTTAGCAATGAAATACCATGGTATAACCATGGTATTTGATGGTCAGGTTTGACAATGAAATGCTATGAAATACAATCAACCACCAAATGCAATGATATGCCATGATAAATGATAGTAATGATTATGGCAATGAAATACCATGGTATGACCATAGTATTTGATGGTCAGGTTTGACAATAAAATGCCATGAAATACCACCAACCATGAAATGCAATGATAAAACCATGATAAATGAGAGTTATGATTTTGGCAATGAAATGACATGGTATGACCATGGTAATTGATTGTCACACGGTACAATGAAATGCCATGAAATGTCATCAACCATGATATACAATAGTAATACCATGGTAAATGATGGTCAGGTACATAACAATAAAATACATGGTATGACCATGACATTTGATTGTCAAAGTGTACAATGAAATACCATCAACCATGATATACAATGGTAATACCATGGTAAATGATGGTCAGGAACATGGCAATGAAATACCATGGTATGACCATGGTATTTGATTGTCACATCTTATACTGAAATGCCATCAACCATGATATACCATGGTAAATTATGGTCAGGAACATGGCATTGAAATACCATGGTATTTGATTGTCACATCTTACAATGAAATGCCATGAAATGCAATCAACCATGATATACCATGGTAATACCATGGTAAATGATGGTCAGGAACATGGCAATGAAATACCATGGTATTTGATGGCAAACTTTGGACATGAAATACCATGAAACATGGTATACCATGATATACCATGGTCAAAAATTGACCAAAAAAACATCATTGCCACCATGGTCAGAGTTGATGGTAATTTCATTGCCGATCATGATAGACCATGATAAACCATGGTATACCATGGTATCATGGTTTACGTTTAAACATGGCATTGATGATGGACATAAATTGCATTTAGGCTGGCAACTGGCCCCGATCATTAATCATTAATAACAGAAAAATATGTATTATAAAAAAGTTTTCCTAAACATAATTACAGGAATTTTTTTTTACATTTTTGTGGAATGAACCTGTGGTAAGTTTTATCCTATGGTAATAGCCTACATTATCTTCTTTGACGTAATTATATCGCCTTGCCTTTTAAGTCTGGCTTGCCTATTTCAGATACAACCCTATTGATGATTGCATCAGGCAGCCTAATTGAAATATCGTACCTTAACAAACAAATCTTTACATAGAAATCAATTGCCTGCTCTTTATTTCAACAGCCAATCAATGAATATCTATTTTCACTTACCGGTAAGTGACTATGTTTACATAGCAGAAAAGTAATGAGGTATTCTTAATAGCTCATGTTACATCGGATATCAATATTATAGTCAATGAATAAGTTATAACACTGTGCGTAGAAATACCTCTACATAGGAACACTTTTTCTTTGTCCTATTCACTGAACTCCCACTCTGTTCAATTTTTTCTGGTCGCAAAGAGGGCTATTGACTTCCATATTAAGAATCCTCGAAGTGTGAACATCCGCAAATCAGAACTCATTTAGTTACGACATACTTTAAGTAGATACAGTTTTTTTCTTCATGTGCATCAGATTTTATGTAATTTATTTCAAAATATTTAGATTAAAAAAAATATCATATTGACAAACTGCTTGACAACCAGTGAGCATTTGACATGTAATGGTTACAAATTATAACTATCAAGTTTATCTAGACTACATTTTAAAGAAAGCACTTAACATGTATCAACATCAAATTTAACGATTTTTGAAGAATCTTCAAAAATAAATTATATCTTTCACTCCCAAATAATATCAGCACACAGGTTATTCTTAAGAAAATTTAGCTCTCTGTTAGAGGTGAGAACTCAAACTATTTTCAAAGGGTATTCACGGAAAATTGGAAATATAATATGGGTTCCAAATAACATTTTGAAAACAATTGCTGAAATTGGGTGTTCTTAAAATACTCTTATGGCCATGTTCTTTCCGATGAAATTAATAAAAGAAATTCCATCTTTGCTCGACTTAAGACTGGAGTTTACCAAAAGGGCCTAAACACTGTCTTGCTTTAACATAAAACGCAAAAAGAGAAATTTTCTAGGAATATCGATCAAAATGTTTAAAACCAACAAAAATGGAGCAAAAATTAATTGATTTTAAAGCAATCGTTATAGTTAACTTCATTTACATGTACTTCTTTTTAAGTTGACTTAGAAATAAGTAACAAGTTGGAAGTATATTTCTCTGTACTTTCGTGCTGACATATAACATCATAGCAAAACATTGAAGTAATGTAAATCTGCACCCTGTGGATAATATTGAACTATAATATATAGGTTCACTCTGACATGGCAAACTTTATCTAATCAATGCCACACTGTTTATATTTATATTGAATGTAACTATGACGATGAACAACAAAACTTCCTGAAACTTATCAGATAATATGACACTATATGACACTATTTGACCTTATATACAGAATATACAAGAATATACGAGAAAGGATTCTTATATCAAAGCAACATTTTTATGTCATTTGAAGACTATTTTCTTTACTTTATTGCTATTTTTACTGTTATTGAAAATTGTATGTTGGATGTACGTTTGGTCCTAAAAGGGCATCAGTACAAATAAAATCCTATTATATTATTCTATACATTATATATATGCATTATTATGTGACTATTATATGATAATTCTTTCAAACACATGCATTTAAATGTGTTTGATACAAAATTTGAGAGGTTCGTTGCAATGCCCCATTAAAAAATAAAAAATAATTAAAGAAATATGAAAACTTTATGATCATAACTCCTATGAATTCATCACACTTGGCAACTTGGTTCATCGATGTTATAAGCAATTTGCTCTTGGGAAATTAACAAGGTAACAGACCTCCCCCCTCAACAAAAAAGAGCGTTTCGCTCAAACTGCATTCATTTAATTGACTGAAGCAAATTTACAATAGACAAAAGATACAGAAAATCCTTTCTAATAGAAATACCTCTCAATATGAACACTTTGTCTTGGTCCAAAATCTGTCACCTCCCATTGACTCACAACAAAATCTTGAAATGTGAACACCTGCTAATCCGAACACTTTTGGTCGGTCCAAGAGGCGTTTGGATTACATAGGTTTTTCTGTATAGTTTCATTAAATGATTAAATATTCAAAATTAACAGAGATTTCATATCTAAATTAGACTGATAATCAACTTGAAAAATTATTTTTTTATAAAGTGATCGATATCTATTAGTTTGAGTATAGGTCCCCTAGAGAGCCAGTTTTCTAATAATAATAATCATTGTATTGAGAACAGGTTCTATACACTCATGTAAAGCGCCAATGTATTGACGATGATTGAATGATAAGAAAACACCCTTAGGCGAATTATAAACTGTAATCCTCAAAGTAAATAAAGCCAGGAGTGTATTACAAGTAATACCTTGGGAACAATAGATTAATCAACAAACTAAATTAGATACACCCCCTCTATAAGTATGGAAACTGGAACTCCAAATCTGGATTGAATGTTTAAGTCTAGTATAATATGTTTTGCGATTACAAAATCATAAATTTTGTAAATTTCTGAATTTTTGTAATAAATGAATAAAATAAAGATTCAAACATGATAATAGTCTTTAACATGCTATCAAATGAACGCTTCTGGTTGCCGAACTTATGGAGGGGAGTGTAAGTCTACAGGTTATTAAATAGAAATATAGCAACCACAGTATGTAACAGAAATGCTGCCATATTGTACACTCCTTTCAAGTCTCTGGCACACCAATCTACCCATTTAACATTTTTCTGTTATTATATGTATTAATTATGTAATTTTAGATTTTTAACATGTTTTGTTCAAAGGGGCTGGGATATTTTTTTAATATTTCACGTACACAGTGTCCATAAAGTCTCTTAACAATTACAATGCAAAGTCGATTAAATATACTTGATGGACCCCCTGTATATCGTCTATTACTCATTCTTGACCTCAAGAAAGTTTTTGGAATCAAATTACATACCTCATCTCCATAGACCAATACAGACTTTGCCAATCTATCCATGGTGCCCAACTTAGCGCTAACATCATATACAGTTTTCTGTCCAGCCTTCTTCCGTTTCCGTAGCAACTTATTCTGTTTTTTATGCATTACATTGTCAATATCATTTGGACCCGCAAAGAGCAACAAAGCACCTTTTCGGGTAGTGTAAGTTTTCGGTAAGACTAGTTCCCCATTGGGTTTTTCAATTTGTCCCTGGCTAAAAGAAGATATTGCAGATTTGAGCCGAGGAGAGATCGTGATACCATGGCGATGATCCTCTGTTGATGTCCAGGCTTGAGATGGATTGCTGATATCGGGAAAAGTGTTTTCTTTTGGTAACTTGTGGAAAGCCTAAATAAAATTACATATACCAGAATGTGTTTAAAGACTGAGTTCAATTTAATTTGTAGCTAACAGGCACAAATCAAGTGTTTTAATAATTGCATGTAATATAATAGTTCTGCATGCACTTCTCTAATATTTACGTCCATGGAGTTGCAAAATTGATAGAGGATCAGAGCATATTTTTGGGGTATTTCTTATTTCCTTGCTATTTCTAAGATATGTGAAGATTGCGTGTATAATACATAAGATAATAGGCTTTCATTCTTCTTGAAACATTTTGCATGAATTGTGTAAAAATGATGGTAACAGTGTTATCATGGGCGTAGCGCTGGTTCGCACCAGCACAGGAACAAGAATTGAGTGATTCAAAAATCGAGCATTGAAGGAGGACTGGGGGTTCTCCCCCAGGAAAATTTTGAAATTTGGTTGTATTTGGGGCAAATTTGCAACCATCTGGTACGCCTGTGCGTACCCAGCGTACCAGGCGCTACGCCCCTAGTTATTAAGAACCCAGGTGTGGTATTGTCCTCTCATTTTGCCTCACCCTTTTCATTTATTAATCTTCATTCTCAACTGATTACCTACCCTTGGGCTAAGACTCTGAGTTGGTCGTTCAAAATCCAACGCTCCATTCCAAGTTCCTTCGCCTTTCGCGAGTTGACTCAACATTGTAAGTTGATTTATTTCACTGTGAGTTTGTTTCGTAAAGTCATGGTATTCTTATTTTGATCCCATATTGAGGGATATTATGAGATTCTAAGAAAACTTCAGATCAAGACTGTCACTCAGTTGAAAAGTTTCATTTTATTTATTTTTCGTGTGTGCTTTCAGAAATTACTGTTTATAAATAAGGTGACATTTTTTGAATATAAAAGACGGCCAAAAGTATTCTTCCGTTGTTCATACATAATCCTGTTTATAATTTATCATTTATGTTCTTTAAGAGTCACATATTTGTGTATTTACTTATAGATTTAGAAAATTTTCAGAGGCCATTTATTTACATGCAACTGTACAGTAGCAACAAGACGAGGGGTGCTAGGATAATTTGCTACTTATTGGATTTCTCTCATAGCATCAAAACTTATCAAATGGTACCATGAAAATATTTTTTTATTTTTAAATACTCATTTTAGCTACTGAGTATTGCATTAGCTATGAAATATATTTATTTAATATTCTGCTAATTAAAAATACAAACTTGTTTTCCAAAACACCCCTATATAATAAATGGATTCTACCATCAATCTACTAAGCGCATGCGCATAAGGCCCTTTCCGAAAGTTTCAAAATGGAGGTAGGATTTTCTATTTGTTATTTATCAAATCTACAAATATCTCATGTAATCCGTGAAACAATATCCAAATCGTGCAAATTGGACATTCTTCATTTAATCCTTATTAGATTGCACACTACATTTTGTCGAATTACTTAATGTCTTGTCTAATCTGCCTCTGTCAATACAACCGGTGTCCCTGGAATTTGGCCACGTATACAAATACTTTGGATTAATATTTAGTTTAGTCGTAAAATCGCTATTCGTTGGCGTAATTAATATAACAAAGACAAAGTTACATTTAGTTAACACCATGTTTTAGTCTTAATATCGCAGGAAAAACTACAGAATTGTGTAAAATTGTCATTTTCTTGATAGTGGGCGATAATAGGGAACACTTTCAAAATTGTCAAAACAACTCATTATTATTTGATTTGTTATGTTGTCCCTAGAAGTTTGTATTGCCAAATTCTGAATATGACATCAAGCATGAATTGTAAATAAGTAATTTTATCAATTTGAGAGATCTCAAGTCGTTTATCAAATCATTGATTTTTTTATCCAAGTGGAGGTATCTGATTGGTCAACAAGTAGTTTTTTATGGTTATTGTTTCTGTATATTGTTTCTGCATATTGTTTGAAATTGTAACTTTTGTTCAAATGCATCCTTGAAATAGAAACAAAACTCATTCAATTCCATCAAGAATAATAATACATGTATTTTTTCCATTTGCCATGTACTAAATTTTGAATTTTGTCATCTTGAGGTCAAATACAAAGGCCATACATCATAATAGGAAAACCACAAGCAATCCAATATGTTGCATTTAAAATAATGTCATAAAATATTGTAAAATGTGGGTTCATTTCAAAAGATTCTGTTCAGTGACCTTCCCTACATTTTGTACAGTTTGGAACAAAAATAATGACACATGGATTTGCTGAAGTGAGGATTTCCCATGATAAAAATAAGAGAATTTTCAAATGTTAAGGGATATGTATCTCGACAATATCTGAGACTATAGGGCTTTCAAAACACCATGGTTTGGATTTGGTGATAGAAAATCCGCCTGTCATTTATTTTGTTCCAAACTGTAGCTCCTACTTTTAGCTATTTTTCAGTCACATTTTCAGAGGGCTGAAAATGTTATTTAATCGTGTTTCGGGTCATTCTGACCATGCACATTGTGATCCTGGTCATGCAAATGATATGTGGAAGTGGAACTAGTTAAATTGACTGGAGGTCAAAACATAACTCTGTTATCTTTGTTCAAAAAATATCTAAAAATGCAGCATTTTTGTTACTTCCTGTTTTGTCATTTCCTTTTAAGTACCACTGCACCTTAAACAATTCATTCAATTAGAACATAAACAATTATATATGCATGTTGACATGTACTTAATTTTGAATTTGGTCACCTATTGTCATTTGTCAGTTCAATTGAGGTCAAACAAGCATCAGATACAAATGCCATACATTATGGTAGGCAAACCACAATCAATCTAATATTTACATATTTGCATCTAAAATATAAATGTATTTTTCAGTAAAATATTGAACTGTGCAAGTCGATTGACTCATGTTTTTTTCTACTTTCAGACCTCTATTGAGTCGATGAGTCGCTATGTGTCACCTATCAACCCAGCAGTGTTTCCACATCTTACAGTAGTGCTCCTAGGCATCGGAATATTTTTCATGGCATGGTTCTTTGTGTATCCTTTATAAATATGCGATAGTACATAGATTGTAACATATTACAAAGGGCAATATTTAAAAAAATAAAACTACTCATATTACATTACAATTTGTATCACATATTTTTATATAAAGATTTAACTCTGCTCAAAATCAAAAAAAGAATATAAATCTTAACGTACCACTGTGATGAAATCTAGATAATTTGTTGAATTCAACTCAAATCTCATCTTAGTATCATAACTTGTAAATAAATAATTTATGAAATAAAAAACAACCTTAACATCTGACCAGATATGAAGTAACATCCACAAAATTCACTAGAGATATTTACAAGGAACTTCTAGTCTCTCTGGTAGCCTCAATATTTATGGGATTTGGAGTCCTCTTTCTTTTACTTTGGGTTGGAATTTATGTATAGCAGACAGCAAAGGAGGTGTGAATGTGGTGTATCATATGAAGAAGGTAAGTTCCCAACAGGCTTTGTGTTCAATTTTCAAAGAGGGGTAGTTAACAGTGATAACTCTCCCAAAAAATTGGAAAACATTGTTGAAAGTTTGCCATTTATTTTCATGTTGGTGCAAAAAAGTAAATGTCAAGCCAAGATATGTAAATGAAAAGTATTGATGAATGAAAAAAAGTATAAGTGCCAGTTACATTTTCACCTTTTTATGATTTTCTCTGGGCAACCTATACATTTTGCAAAAGGGAACAGAATAGAATTATATTTCCCTCTGGATATTATGGAACTGAAGAAATGTATATGAGACTTCCATTGAACAAATGGCCTCAGCCTATATTTGCCACTAGAGGCACTGTAGTTTTCATGACTTATGACCCAACGCCATTTTGTATAAATCGTTGGTTATGTGCATGAATACTACAGGGCTAAGCAGCAAAATGAGACTGAGACAAGATTCCTAGAGTCCATATCTTCAGGTCCATGACAATATGGGTTAAAAAATGTACGATCTGTTTTTTCATTTTTTGGTTTCAGAATGTATGATGTCATAGAGCAACAGTAAACAATAGAATAGCATTCCAGTCACCATAGAGACATTTTACAAACAATATGGCCGCCACTGGACTCCTAACAAATCATGTGCAACTGTAAAAAGAAACACTTTATCAGACATTTTTATATTTATCATTATGAATGAACTTGTGTATAAATAATATAAATAAAGAATATAATATTCTTAAAGTAAAATAGTAAAACAGGTGTTTGTGTTGTAAATGTTAGGGGTGGGACGGATAACCGAAATACCGAAAAACCGCGGTTCATAGCCTTCGGATCGGTTTTCGGATCACGGCCCAACTTTCGGATCAGCTTTTCGGATCGTTTTCGGATTAATATTTCATTGGTCAAGTATCAAAAAAACAGTTAAAAACACTGTTTTACAGCAACATTTTTGATATTCCTAGTCCCTACCTTCAGACCTTGTCTGTCTTGTCTGTTGCTAGCTCACTCGTTTACTAGATTCGTTTCGTATCCGCGTATTCGTATCCCTCAGTAATCAATCATGTGGTCCCTGGTACTATATTCTTTAGTCGTGTATTCTAAATAATATGTATTGTTCATGAAATACTATAACATAAAATTCCATCTATAAAATATTGTTATAACGTGGCATAATTGAGAGACAAAGCAGCTAATCATGTCAATCAATACAAATCCTTAAAATGAATGAACCGAACTGAAAAAACCGAACCGACGGCTGATGATCCGAAAAACCGAACCGAACCGAAACGAACCGTCCCATCCCTAGTAAATGTGGAAATGCATAGGGATTGCAGGCCGTAGTCAGATTTTGTCAAGCATGTCAAGTGGCGTCCTGTTTTTATGTTCCCACCAGCAGAGGTGACATATTTTTATAGTCTCCCAATTTTTTTTGTGGATAGAGTTTGCTGTGTAACAAATTCAGGTGGTGACATTTTGCATGTAAATGCATTGTTAAACATTCCAAGGGTTTCAAATTTGATAATTTTGGTGCCTAAATCTCTTGAAAAGTTCTCAAAATGGTAAAAAATTGCATGATATTTAGAAAGAATTTTTAAGTACTGTACGTGTTTTAATTTTGCAACTTTATGAGATATAATGTCCTTAGAGCCTCAGTAGGTATGGTACGCTCAATTACGATACAGGGTTTATCCCTCGGGAAATATGTGTATCTCCCTCGGTCCCTCTAGAGATATATTAACCTTGGGATAAACACTGTATCCAAAACCTCCCAGTAAATAACCCTTATCTATGTCACATAGAGATACATATGTAATTACAAACCGTCATTATTTCAGAAATCTAGTTTATAGAGTCTAAACAAGTACAGGGTGTCCCGAAAGTATGGGGCCCCCTAGGCAGACATATACCAGTGTCGTCATAGTATGTGTTATATATCATTTGAAAGCTTATCCAAAGTTACATTGATTCGCCAAGTATCATGGTTCAACTCTCAAATGTGAAAAAATTACAGGCATTTCAAAATTTAGTGTTTGGTCAAAATTAAGTTCAATTTTACACCAAATCACTAGTCAATGTGTCCTCCTAGGCCATTTTAACAGCAGCAATTCTTTTCGGGTCGGAGGGATATTGAGTTGGAAAAAGAGAGTGGTGAGGGTAGGAAAGGAAAGTCCCTTAACAGGTTTTAAGAGGGTTATAAAATCCCATACCCCTATTTGAAGGGCTTTTAAGGTCATATCTGAAAATAATTGCTGCTATTAACACATGGCCAAGGGGGACAAATTGACTAGTAATGTGGTGTAAAATTGAACTTTATTTTGACAAAACACTAAATTTTAAAATTACTGTAACTTTTTCTCATTTGGGAGTTCAACCATGATACTTGGCAAATCAATGTAATTTTGGATAAGCTTTAAAATGATATATGACACATACTATGAGGACACTGGAATATGTCTGCCTAGGGGGGGGGCATACTTTCGGGACACCCTGTAAATTCATCCATTTCCGAAAGTAAGAAAAGGGGTTCCCATTAGGCTTTTTTTGCATAGGTTCTGGGCCGATATAAAGATGGCAGCACCTA